GCAGAATGGTTTAATGTGTTGCTAACTGTCTCTCTGCAGTGTTCTGTCCAAGGAGGTGGATTTACATGTGCATTAGGTTCCTTTCACCCTGGCCCGTGGCCACTGTGCTGTCTTTCATTTACTTGGGAAACTCAGTGGCAGACTGGTTCATAAAAAAATGTTGTACAAACATGCAGGAAATACTTGTTCCAAGCGCAAAGGCAAAGAAAAGAGTTGATGAGATGGATTGGGAGCCCGGAGGCACGTCAAGTGAGGGGAATGGGAGGGAAATCAGACAAGTGCTACTTGCAGCCAAAAGGAGAATATTTTCTCTTTCCATCTGGTGGGGGCTCCTGTGGCTCCCCCTTGGTTTGCAGGCTTGGGCACAGGGTGTGTGTCAGCCCGTGCCCACAGGAGCTCCAAAAGGCAGTGCTCCATCCTGGTGTGGGTGGCTGTGGGTACCAAGGGCAGGGATGTGGGTACCAAGGGCAGGGATGTGGGTACCAAGGGCAGGGATGTGGGTACCAAGGGCAGGGATGTGGGTACCAAGGGCAGGGATGTGGGTACCAAGGGCAGGGATGTGGGTACCAAGGGCAGGGATGTGGGTACCAAGGGCAGGGATGTGGGTACCAAGGGCAGGGATGTGGGTACCAAGGGCAGGGATGTGGGTACCAAGGGCAGGGATGTGGGTACCAAGGGCAGGGATGTGGGTACCAAGGGCAGGGATGTGGGTGCCATGGGGGGCCCAGAGCTGGGGGGGGCTGTAAGCAGCCTCACCGCGGCTCCCAGAGGAGGGAATGTCTTGCTGTGGAAGAAGTCTATGAGGATTCTGGAGGTCTTAGCTCAGCTCTTGGCTCCACTACAAATTTCCCACGCGACCTTAAACAAGTCACTTCATCTCTCTGCGCTTCATTTCCCTTCTGCAAAGTTTGGAGAGCATGGTTGTCCCTGTGGTCTCATCTGCCTGGGTTGGGAGACTGCCTTTATTTCGTATTTTATTATTTCATTCCAGTGCAGTGTGTGGAGTTGGCCCAGGGCAGGAGGGGCTCAGGGGAGGTGAGGGCTGCAGGGCAGCTGCTCTGGTTGCACCTTCATAGTTTCAAGATGCAGAGAGGAAATATTTCCTTTTAAATTAGTAAAATGTTACACCAGATTAAAGCAGATGTAGGATGATGGTATTTCTTGCAGCCTGATGGGGCTTGAAGCAACCTGGTCTAGTGGAAGGTGTCCTGGTCCATGGTAGGGAGGTTGAAGTGGATGATCTTTAAGGTCCTTTCCAACCCAAACCAGTCTGTGATTCACACAGGCAATCCCTGTGTTGTTCCCTGTCCTGTATCTGTGGGTCCCTTCCTGCTGTAAACATGGGCTTTAGAGGCAAGGGGAGAACCAGGGAGCCTTCACCATGCTGATAGCAGTCAAAATCACAGGAGGTGTCTGGGTTTCATCCCCAGGTGCTCTGTGGCCAGCCTCAAGGAGGCTCTCATTCTCCATGGCACTGGGCACTGGAGTGACAGCCAGAGCCCTGCTCCTGGCAGATAAAGCATCACTTTGGCACCCAGCAATTTACAGCCATTTGCTCCTCACCCATCACTTGGCGACAGGCAGCCTGGCCTCTTTACGCCAGACAGAGCCTCCATCCCCATGGCTGGGGAAGCTCCTCCTCCTCATGCCCTGTGGTTTGCCCTTTTCCTCTCTTTTCCCTCTGCCCACGCCGTTCTGCAGCCCCTGGGACAGGTTGGGGTGACCCATCCTTGCCAGGGCACAGGCAGCCGAGGCAGCTCCTGGGTTTCTGACAAGTTGTATTTTTACACCCGGGATCATTTTGCACGTCCTTGTTTTGTCATGTTAGGGCACTTAAAGTGTCACAGAGATTTTGCTACCCTAAAATCTTGTCTGTCAGCATCACTGACTTATTCCAGTAAAAGGCTATCATCAGCAGCAGCAAGAGGGGGAACAAAAAAATAGTTCCAAAAAGCAGGGTTTCTGTTCCAGGCGTCTGCACCGACCTTGAGCGCGGAGCTGCAGCTCTGAGCAGGGATCCCCAGCTCCCCCACAGTGGGCCAGGGGGATTTTCCTTAGGGCTTTGCCATCATTTTGCAATTACTAGGGTTGTGTTGTACCTGTGCCACAAACAGGGTTTGTGCAGCAGAATGGTTTAATGTGTTGCTAACTGTCTCTCTGCAGTGTTCTGTCCAAGGAGGTGGATTTACATGTGCATTAGGTTCCTTTCACCCTGGCCCGTGGCCACTGTGCTGTCTTTCATTTACTTGGGAAACTCAGTGGCAGACTGGTTCATAAAAAAATGTTGTACAAACATGCAGGAAATACTTGTTCCAAGCGCAAAGGCAAAGAAAAGAGTTGATGAGATGGATTGGGAGCCCGGAGGCACGTCAAGTGAGGGGAATGGGAGGGAAATCAGACAAGTGCCACTTGCAGCCAAAAGGAGAATATTTTCTCTTTCCATCTGGTGGGGGCTCCTGTGGCTCCCCCTTGGTTTGCAGGCTTGGGCACAGGGTGTGTGTCAGCCCGTGCCCACAGGAGCTCCAAAAGGCAGTGCTCCATCCTGGTGTGGGTGGCTGTGGGTACCAAGGGCAGGGATGTGGGTACCAAGGGCAGGGATGTGGGTACCAAGGGCAGGGATGTGGGTACCAAGGGCAGGGATGTGGGTACCAAGGGCAGGGATGTGGGTACCAAGGGCAGGGATGTGGGTACCAAGGGCAGGGATGTGGGTACCAAGGGCAGGGATGTGGGTACCTCAGAGACAAGTGCTTGGGTTTTGCAGGGAGCTATTTTGCCAAATATAAATAATTAAAGGTTGATAGAGCATGGGGAAGGATGTGGAGTTATTGCTGCACCTCCACAGAAAGGGCCTCTGGGTGTCTCTGCTGCCTGTTTTGTGGGCACCAGGGTTATTTCCTTTCTTTACACTGGGATTATGCTTCTGTTGGGTGTTTCCAACTGGAGCAGTTGCACATTCTGGGTGAGAATAACTTCAGAACCTGGATAGAATAAGTGATGTGGTTTTTTAACTTGCTTTAGAATTGTATCAGTAATCCATGGTTACATTATTAATGTCGTGTTAAAAGGACTCGAGGCCTCTCAGCGAATTCCTATTTCAAATAAATAATTACTGGAGCCAAGGTAATTTATTAAATTAAATTGAAAAACCCAGGCACACTCTATATTTGCCTTGAGTAATTTTTTTTTTTTCAACTACCACATCCAAAAACACACACTGTGTCCCCAGAGGCTGCGGGAGGGCTGGAATGCTGATGTGGCAGCCAGAGGTTCCAGCAAGGCCCGGAGGCCACATCCCAGGACTTATGTTGTGGGGAGAGGTCCCAGATCTGCCTTTCACATCTCTGGGCAAGGAGCTGGATTTGCTTCTTGGAATTCAGTGGAAAGCAGACACTCACACACACATACAGAGAAGACCCTTCCTGCTCCCCCGCAGCCTCTGCACAACTTGTGCAAGAGAAAGCTTTCATTTCCAGCCCCAAAATAATGCCTGCTTTGGTGGGGTTTTATCTGCACTTTGCCAAGACGTGTGACAAATTTGTACTAAATCGGAACCTCAGGCAATGCCAGCACAGAAAAACAGGGAAGCTACTGCAAAATACAGGAAAATGAGATAAAGATCCATCATACAGCAGTTACTTCAGAAGCAAGAATAAACAATATTTAAAAATGTATAAACACAGATGGCATATTTTCCTTAAAAAAATGTTTTGAGAAAAATAAAAGCCTCTTAAAAAGGAATAAAATATGAAAAGTAGGAGAAGTAGGTCAGAAAAAAAGTAGTCAAAGGAAAGAGGGAAAACTAACAAAATTGAAATCAAAGCCAGAGCAGATTCTGCCGGTGTGTGGCGTGGATCCAGACAGCTTTGTCAGGACAACAGTGACCCATGTGTCCTCAGGTCTGATCCAGCTTGTTTCAGGTACATGGAGAGCAGTAAGGGCCCACCAGGGAGCTGGCAGTGCTCCAGGTGATGTGCCTTGGGTTTTATTAACACCCAGAATAAAAAGAGCCAGGGAGAGACACGTTGTGTGCTCTTTTATACCCTCTTGGTTTGCAGGCTCATGGCTCTTTTCTCTGGGCCACCTCACAGGAGGCTGGGCAGGAGCAGTGGCCAAGAGGCTGGCTGGGAAGGGATGGTGTGAAGAGCTTCGAGGGGACCAGATGGTGTCTGCAGGGCATGTTTGGGTTTTGTTTATCAGTTCAGCAAGTTGGCTGGGGGAGAAAGGAAGGGCGTTTTTGCATTCAGATGGCTCAAGACATGATCTTATAAAAGATCAGGCTGTAAAACACATGTGGCTTGTACGATTTGAGCAGAAAAGCAACAGGTGTGTGGGAAGGTAAATGTGATCTCTTTTGCCCTTGTGTTATTTTGGTGTGTGTTATTGTAGACCAGAGCCCACTGCCTGGCCCTGTCCTCAGACACCAAACAGAGCACGTCAAGGCTCCTGTTAGACCAACGTGACTCCTCCTGCACTTCAGGGAAAGCTCGGTCAGTAATTAGAGCTTTCAGCCAATTCACGCTGCCATGGCAGCAGTGCAGATCTCGGGCCGCAGACATGGAACTCAAATTTGGGCTCTCCCTCTACCGGGGCTGGCAGAGAGGCTGCCCGTGCTTTCACCCAGGCTGCAGGAGCCCCCGCTGAGGGGCTGCAGCCCGTCCTGGCTGGGTGTCCCACCCACCGTGCAGAGATGCTGCAGCGAGCACCGCGCTGCCTCCCTCTAGTGGCTCCGCTTCCCATCCTGGAACGGCAAGGAGCGCTGGGAGGGTTCCCTAGAAAAGGCACCGTGCCTCCACACCAGCGTCCAGCTGTGCTTACACACCGAGGGGCAGGCTCAGCCCGTTCCGTACGGGAGTTATTGCTCAGGACCATCCTGCTCAGTGTCCTTGAACTGTTACCACAGAAAGTCAGTTATTCCCAGAGCATTCCCTTTCACAGCCTATGAGAGGCTGGCTCACCTGGCAGCTTGTGGGGAGCACAAAGGATGAGCTGTACAGAACCACCATTGTTCAACAGAACTGGTTTTATTGTGTAGTGAAAGAGTGCATCTAAAACCAGAGGAGTATCAAACAGCCTGTTACCTAGAACGTACAAACAAAGAAGCTGCTGAGGCTCGAGTGTGTCGATCCCTTGCTGGCACAGAAGAGAAGCAGGAACTGAGGCTTCTCTCTGGCTTTTAACAGCTGTTAAGAAACAGGGTAACTGGAGGGTGCAGCTTCTCAAGAGACTGGCAAACAGAAAGGAACCTAGAGACAGAGCTAGTGGGTGCCACGGGACGGCAGGGCGAGGTGAGCGATCAGCTGGTGGCTTTATCGCTCTCTCCGTTCTCTATTAGTTTCCTTTTCTTTTCATCCGTTTTCCTCTTGAAGATGCTATCTCTGTAGAACTGCAGCTCTTTGATGCTTTCCCTGATGTCATCAAGTGCTCTGCAAGAGAATTACGGAGGGTTTCAGAATGCCTGCAAGCATCTTCAGTGACACTGGAATTCAAACTCATTTGAGAAATGCTGGGCTGGAAGAAATCAAACCCTGATCCGTGCGGATTGTGCGTCAGCCAGAAATAAAACCAGGCCCTGCTAGGCTGCGAGAGCAATAAAAGCCCAACAGAGCTGACGTGCCAGGGAGAAACCCACAGCTTGTGTCACCCTAGGACACAGAAGCTCATGAAAACCAACAGGTTCTTCAGCTTCCATTGTTAAAAGCAATTCCACCTGAGTCAGCAGAGACAGGGCTCTGGAGAGCTCCTGCCTTGTACAGGAAGGGGATGTTCAAGGGGTGTGTACCCACCTTGCCAAACAAGGATCTGGGAGGAGTAACAGAGTGAATCAGAGCGGGTGAGGAAACCTCTTATTCTCTGTATTTCAGCCATCCCTTTCCCTA